CTAATCAGTAAAAATTGCTATTTAGTTTTACTTAAGAGGTCTTGATGGTCGTGTATGTCATGAAGCATGTTTGTAATGAACCTATTTAAATCCCATCTTAAGGGCAACGAACTTTGGCTATGTTGAACTGTATGAGGTACTACCAGAATAAACAGACATGAAGTCTTCTGCTCGTTTTCTTTTCAAAAATCACAAACTTGGAAGCCCCAAGTAAAGGACCGGACAACAAGCAAGTCAGGCAGACTGTGGTCTTTGTGGACTGCCTGATTTGGTATGGACCTAGCAGTCAATTATTTCTTTAGCTAACGCATCCCATTACAATTAGTCCTGTGTGGAAAGAGGATGCCAAAGAAGCAGCTGAGACTAGAGCATTTAACTGCTTTTTCCATCTCTCAAGTGTGACCAGTTACAGGGTTACCACATGCCATATAGTACAGTGTTCTCCTCATATAAATTCCTTAGAAAGGCTTCAAAACAATAGCTTTTTCTCTCTTAGTAGGATACAGTATGGAGGCTGGTTCCAATAGTTTATGGTATCATAATGTTAAAGAAAGTCAAGAGGCTTATATTTTCAAGCTCCAGTTCCTGCAAGGAAATATAAAAATGGCATTCCAGCACATTTAATCAAGCTGCTTACATTAAAAACTGCTTTGCACCTATGTATTCTGACACTGAGCACAGTACTCTTACCACTTAACACGCTTGCTGAGAACAAAAAAATAAGAGAAGCCACCTGAGAACCATCTTTCCCCCAGAGGTAGTGACAGAACAGTTCTGTGCAGCAACAGGTCCCTCCCCTGTCAGCTGCAGTCAAAGCCTCAAGAGCAGAAGATCTGAGGTCAGAGATGTTTGCAGGAACCCTTCTTCACAAGGGTGACTTTCACACATTTTCTGCAGCCTTTCACTGAAATAAGGATGGTGGCAGGGTTATCATGAGAAAGTTTGGAAACAAAGAATAAGTGAGAACAACTCTCAATTAATGCTTTGTTACAGCCCTCACTCTGATGAAAGTGCAATGGAAGTATAAATTCTAAAACTGAAAGCAGATTATGACTTTCTGCATCATAATTACACCATTTACATCTTATCAACAGATGTAATAGTCTGAATCATGGGTGCTTCAAACGGCATTATTTATCACTTAAAAATTGCTACTCATCAAGCCAGTATATTTCACAGACACCTGGGACAGTTCACAAATTTCTCATAATTCTCTAGTTAAAAATAACTTTAAATTAACAAAATAGATTCCGGTGTTCAGGTTTTTCAGGAGTTAGATGGGAAGCTGGGGAAAAAACCCAGTCAGGTAGTACATGCAAAGGAAAACATGGCACAGGACATACTCAGACCTCAGTCTGCCTAAGCACCTTTTCTGCACTTCCTTGAAAATACAAACTCAAAAAACTATCAGGGAACATTGCTAACCATTGCTTGTTGACAGCAGCTAAAAAAATTTCAGCAGTCATATTTTGTACTTTACTGCTTGGTTATTAAACAGGAGAGAATTACAAACTCTATTAGTAAATTTGCCATAATTCCCACTCCAGCATCTTTACAGTCATAAGCCAAAAAAAGCCTCCTAACTCATTAAACGGCATCCAGAAGTGACTTAGAGCAACAGAAGATAAATTGCTCCGATAAAACACACTCAGTTCTTAAAACTCGGGATTCCTTGGAATCAAACGTGAACAGCTTCAACCATTGGTTACTCACTTCAACCAAAGGAAATCTTTTGCAGGTTTACAGCCAAGAGACCAAAACTTAAGTGCTTTGGCTATATTACCTTCTTTACAATTACACATTTAAAAAATAGCAGCAAATGCCTTTGGCATCCACTTCCAGAGATTTTAAAACAGATTGCATCAAACACAGAACATTAATGTTATCTTAAGCTGAAATTAAAGAGTGTTGTACTTTGATTACAGCAGAGTAATTTTAAACAAAAAATTTATAGTTGCAATTAACATGTCAACTGAAAAATTAGCTACATGTCTGCCATCAGCTTTTGTTTCTCTGTCTTGCACTCAACAGTTCTTTTGATAGAGAAACATTAATACTTTTTGTGAGTATGCATATATATATATACATACTTATTTTAAAAGCCATTTTTACTTTAATTCTTTTAAAGGGAAAATCATACACTCATCCTCCCAACTCTTATAGTAGTACGATGCATTAACCAAGTCTAGCAAGACTGTTAATCAAGAAATTTGCTCAGTCAATTGAATTCAGCTTAGGAGTAAAATCCTGGTTCTTTCTAGGTGGTATGCTTACAAAAATAGATAGGAGCTTTGTTTGTGAAGATTAGCACCACTTTAATGTCATGCATGCATGCAGTTTTCCTGATAAATCTCTAAGCTTATTACATGAAGGCTGTAAGTTTTTCTCTTCACGGAGACAATTACCACCTTTCTGTCCTAAAATGAGATGGATGCAAAATGCAATCTGGTAGACTTCTGCTTGAAGAAGAAAGTCTGAAATCAATTCAAAAGTGAAATAACAGCAAAACTGCCCACATTTAAGAGTACTTTAATTGGTGAAAATAGACAGAAGCTGGCCCCTGATGATCCTGATGACCTTGATTGTCATGGCAGTGTCCAACAGCCCCCAATCTGTCATATCACCCAATTAATCCAGGCATCAGAACATTGTGCAATCCTCCAAGGGTGAGCTCATCCCTTCATCTATCTACTTTTTCTACTGGAATTTGGAGTTTTCAGCCTTTTCTAAACAAAAAGATTCAATGCTTTCCTAAGCATCACATCAAAATAAAGTCTCTCTCAAGGCTGTTGAGAGAATGCCTCTGGAAACAATGACAGCATCAATACCATTTGATCTGCTTGTCATGACATCAGCACAGAACATTCAGAATCAAATCTCTGCACCTTTCATGACAGGAAAGGACTATCCTTATTTCTAAAAGAAAAGTTCCAGAGGGAAGCACTTAAGTCTGAGATTTGAAAGCCCTCAGCCAGTATGGTGTGACCAAATTCCTTTGAAGTAGTTTGTGCATGTGACACAGCAGCAAAGTTTTGTTGACACCTGCAGATATGCAAGAGCACCTTCCTTCCTATCTGTAATACACATAATACTTTTGTCCTCCATATAAAAAATATTAAAGAAAGAGATCACTCTGCAAAAAAAAGAAAACTCCCTACATCTTCACCCTTTAATTCATACATCCATCTATAGCCAGAGGATGATATGAAAACTCTGGCCAAGTTGATAATAAGAATTAGAGATAAACGGAAAAAGGCCTCTGTTTGGGAGCTTTGCAGTATAGAAGACCCATATGCTTATGGTCTACACTCCCAGAAATACTGCAGGCAAAGTCAGGCCTTCCTGACAAGAAACAGTCAACATAGTCCGTCACAGTAAAAAAAAAACAAAACAAAACACCACCAAATGAACAAAACCCCTCAAACCAACAAAAAGCCCACAAAAATCGAAACCAACCAAACAAAAAAACCCCCACGTCTCCCCCAAAAAAAGCCCAAACTTCTTTTTCCAGTCTCTCCACTTCCAGTTAACAGAAAACTGCACCACAAATCTATCCAGAAGGAAGTATGATTTTCTGCACGAGTGTAGGGGCAACCAATCTACTCAGTTTAGGAGGAAGTCTACTTACAGACTTCATGTCTATATACTACACACCTCAAGAATGCACCTTCCTTTCTGCACTAATTTATTTGATCCTTTCCAGAAGAACCACAGTACTCTGAATGACTTAACCAAGTAATTATTCCTTATTGTGCACTGACTGCAATATTCCTTTTGACATGCGTTCTCCTGAAAGAGAAATCAACTAGGAAAAATGAATCCAGGCTCTGAGCATGGGAAGTAGTCACATGAGCATCTGAAACATATAAGCCTGAAACATCCCAGAATGAAGCAGATGCAGAACTTGATTGCATGAGGGCTGAAGTAAATCCAATTAGCAAGTCTCCTGCAGAGCAGATTTGCATTCTCAATTATAGTCCAAGAAATAAAATGTTCTGCAATTAAGTACAAAAGAGAATCCGTTTCAATCGTGTCAAGAAGTTGTTTTGAACACATCGGATTTCCAAGTTGTCATGGTGTAACCCCAGCCAACACCAAGCCCCTCACAACCATTCACCCACCAGTGGGATTGGGGAGACAATGGGAAGGGTAAAAGCTGGAAAACTCGTGGGTTGAAATAAAGACAATTTAACAAGGAAAGCAAAAGCCAAACACTCAAGCAAGGCAAAACAAGGAATGAATTCACTGATTCCAATGGGCAGGCAGGCGTTCAGCCACCTCCAAGACAGCAGGGTCCCAGGTTACTTGGGAGGACTAACTCCACTACTCCAAACTTCCCCCCTTTCCTCCTTCTTCCCCCCAACTTTATACACTGAGCATGATGCCATAAAGTCTACAATATATCCCTCTGGCCAGTTCAGGTCACCCATCCTGGCTATGTCTGTTTCCTCCCAACCTCCCTGCACCTCCAACTTCCTTGCCAGTGTGGCAACACAAAAAGCAGAAAAGTCCTTATCTCTGTGTGAGCTCAGCAATAACAAAAATATCTCCTTATTATCAACACTGTGTTCAGCACAAATCCAAACATATCCACTGTGAAGACAAATAATTCTACCCCAGCCAAAACCAGCACACAAATCATCTTTTATACTCCACCTCCAAAAAAAGGTTAATTTCAGGCATTCTTGCTCTTAACACCTTTTGTTTTTTATCTGCTTCTGCAAAACAGAATGATGCACTTTGAGGTGGGGGATAGGGAGGCAATGACACCACGCAGCAACCACCCTAATAAATCGTCCCATTTTTATCAGAAGTCTAGCTCCAAGTGTAGTCAGTTCCTGAAGAATTACATTTAACCTCCTGTCTTACAACAGGCTAAAAAGCCAACTGAAATAATCCTAAAAACCATTAAATACTGCCTGAATTTTTAATGCCACACCATGGAGTGGCAAATAAAAGCATAGCACAGCCTGAGCCAGCACTGAGTAGAGCTGGTACATTCACACAGCACAGCATACTGGCACAGCAAAAGCTGCCTAACAGTTCAAAAGCAACATTGCTCAGAATAGTCTTAGGAGTCTCTGCCATGTAAACTGTCAGACTAAGTTGAAACATTAACCCAGCATCACAGTCACTTTATGGTTGAAACAGACATGGCTACTTTCTTTGAATTTAAAAAACACACACACAAAAAACCCCAAAACAAAAACAGCAAAAACCCCCCATCACCAAAGATTGAGTAATCTTAAATATAAACTGTTAATTCAAAGAAGGAAAGTTCACTAACAAAATGAAGATGCAAGAGATAACTCTTCTTACTAAAATGGATGGTAGGAATTTTTCCACTCTTTTTATCATCATATTATGAGTCAGTTAAGTTTGGATGGCAGAGACAATGCATCCTAAGTTAGTTTTTACGCATAAAAAGAAATTTCAGTAAGTTCATCAGGCATAACTGAAGTGCAGAAATAAACTGAAGACCTTCCATGCACTTAAGCTACAAAACCTGGATAGCTTCCAAAATACTGAAAGGCAAACCCATTTGAAGTCAACTACTTACAAAAAACTGTTAGTAGTGACAAGTGACCATAGTGTGACTGCTATTACCTATACCAAGAAGTGGGGGAAATAGGTTTGTGGTTGCTCATGAATGGGTATTATATGAAGCTTTGGAAAAAATCTGAAGAATTCAACAGAAGATGTAGTACACTGGTTTAAATTACTCCAAGATACTGATCTTGCCAAGCTCCTCCTCTGCAAGAATGTTCTTCAAGAATGAGAATCATCTGAGGTCTAATCAAGTGCAGTACCAAAAGGGAAAAAAGTTAATCTCAAGAGGAAGATTTATTCTGCAGCACCTTCCCCTTTAACCAGTTCTGAAATACATTATGCTGAAAAAAAAGGTGTCCCTCTACAGAGAAGTTAGTGCTCTTCTTTCAGGTTCTTTCGTGTGATGTTAATAAGGTTAAAGATTTTTTTATTTCATCTTTATATAATTCTTGAAGTTTTACTTTGCACCATACACACCATGTATATAAAATTTTAAAGTAAATAAATATACACATATTAGGAGTGCACACCCAAACTTTTTTATTGATACAAGTGTGCAGTTGAAGAATTGGGGACATCATAGAGTACTGACCAGGGAATTGAATCACCACATCCAGTGCAAGATTTTGCAGTTGAAGGCTTTCTATAAATCAGATCAACTCCCCAAACCAACTAAGATCTATGAGGGTACAAAAGTTCACCCCTTTCAGCAGGAGTCCAAACTTGTGCTCTGAAACTATAAACTGTTAATAAGGTTCAGTTATTTCCAGCTTCTTTGGGACAAAAACAAAGTAGTAAGAACTATATTAGCAGTTTGCTGAGGAAAGTTTTAATTGTTTCAGTATTCTACAGGTCTTCTGAATGAAGACCTCTCACAGAGATACAAGCATCAAGAAATGTAAAAATACAAATTATACACAGTCCTTATAAAACACAAAATCTAGAGCACTATAATTATTTATTGCTGCAAGCAGAGCAGTACACTCTTTTCTCTCTTGATAAAAATGGTTGTAATTTAGTGGGATATCAGGATAAGGAAAGTGAGGATTTTCCACATGGATTAAAAAAGTGTAAAAACATCACTTTGCATGGTGTCAGTAAAGCCTCATCTGAGTACAGGTGCATTAAGATCAGTGCAGTCCAAAAGTGATTAAAGAGTACAATTACAAATTATAGCCTTCTGGGATATCCCAAGAGCACAGAGACCAAGACTAAGAGTTTCTTGTTTTATTTTAGTACAATGAAGTTCAAAAAGAAAATTTTAATTCTGCTCACATATATGAAGGACAGCAAGAAGGAAAAGCCATCAGAATCAAAAATCACAGGGACTCAGGAAATAAGAGACCTACAGACAGCAAACAAGATTCAGCAAGGAAGTGCAGTAAAAACCATCTGCAAAAGGGTCTCAGTCTTCTGGGAGAGGGGAGGAAGGAGCTTTTAGAGACAGACCTTACATAACATGGACAGCTAATCTGATGACCTAGAATCATCTTTTAGCTTTTTATACAGCTTTAGCTGAGTTTTGCTTTCTTTAGAGGCCCAAGCAGACAAACCAAGAACTGTAAGAAAATAAAAAATAAATATTAGAAGTGCAGCAGTTGTTGAACATTTTCAAGACAGAATACACTCTGTTAAAAAGTAGTGCCATACAGAGCCTTTTCACTCTGCTTATGTTAAACATTTTAAATCAGATGGAAAACAGTAACGCTTGAGAAAATACTCATCTAAGCCAGGAAGACAATTTTTAAAATTTATTGTTAGTGAAAACGAACAAAAAACCCCCCTTCAATTCTGCATCAAGACTATCAGTAACACCTTCTTTCTTACTTCTGTCTCCAAATTCAGATGACAGGTGCATGGATTTTTACGTGGGAGGAAGCAAAACACACTCGTGTTTTTAAATGCCTTTGGATTTCTTTTTGTTTTGAGCTGGGGGGGAGGGGAGGTGGTGTGAAGATCTTCCTCTGAGATCACTACCTTGTAGCCTGTCAGTGCTCTCGGTGAGTATTTAACCAACAACAGAGCAGAGCTGCCAGTAGAGGGCTTGGTTCACACTGGATCCACTCATCGCAGCTGCGAGGGATGGCACAAAGCTCGTATTAGAATCACTCACATACAGCAAGGTTTAGTCTTAAAAAAAAAAAAAAAACCCACCAAAAAGCACCACAATTCATTCAATTCTATACAGAAACTCGTAAATTAATGCACAGCAGTGGATGACACTGTGCAATTCTAAATACTTTATCAGTAGACCCTTTCAGAACCAGAAGGTCTGTGACATTATGCCATGGTAATTGATAAACTTAGGAAAACGAAGGCAGGTGTAATGTCTTCTACGGGCTATATCTTTATGCACATGTGTAGCTAACCCAGCTAAAACAGATATTCCTAAACTGTAACACAGAAACATAAAGAAAATTATGAAAAGCAAGGCCACTTTTAATCTTCCCAGTGTCTGAAGGCAGATTCCCTCCAGAGGGTAGGGGACACCACAATGGCAACAAAAACCTGCCTGTCTGTGTCATGGTATACTGGTTCCGCTCCCACCTCTCTGCTAATAAACACCCTCTCACCTCTGCGTCTCTGGAGACTAAAGCATCCCCCTCATCTATGACATAAGCAACTGTAACTCCATCATGAAATTCCCTCTCTCACCTCTCTAAGGCAGAGTAAGATTAATGCACACCACCTGGGTCAGGAACGGATTGATCACCTTGGCTATCAGCAGTCAATGACATATAAAAACAAGACCCCCTCCCTTGAAATTTAAAATTATCTATCAAGATCAAGATGCAATTCATCCACTCAGAGTACTGCAGCATCACCCAGCTGTGTTCATAAAATTCAAGAGCAATCCCTTTTCTGCTGTAACAGCCACTGTTGGCACAACCACATCAACACCTATCCTTCCAGGACTGCAAGACAAACCCTCGAGAAATGGTAGCCCTTGTATACATGTACGTGCATCTTCCTCAAACAGAGCATCTTCTTCCAACAGTGCTCTTCTGCGAGAACAGAATCAGTAGAAGAGTTAGACATAATGAACCTTTGTTAACAAACCTAAGTGAAAAAAAAAATCTGTTCTATAACCAGCACTAGTATCAACAATGCTCCAACACTCCCTGACATTTATTTACCTATTGAAAGCAAACAGAATAGCACAAACTCTAACTGCAAGGTGAAATTGCTGCATTCAAAGCAGTGAACCACATTGACAATGAACAGTTTTGGATTAACACAAAGTCACTGCCAACCTTGATTCCCTGGGTCAAGAGCACAGGCATAACAATAGGTATTCACACAGAGCAAACTTTATATACGGGTACTGAGATGTTTGTACCAGCTGCCCTTTACAGACATGCTGTACCTGTTAAATTAGTATGAAATCCACAGCTAAAGAGCGAGTTTAACCCTTCAAGTTACTGAAAATATCTTCTTTAATGCACAGCATTAACAGTAGAGACCACTGTTAGTCAGCAGGAACTGAAGTCACTTTGGGAACGGAGACAACAAGCCCCCTGAAAACAGCGAAAAAAGCACAACAGATTTGTGAACATCTTCTTATACAGAAGTACAATATCATCTTGATTTAAAAGTTTTCAGCTCTCTGTCCAGAAATCAAGTACATAATCAGAGATGTATTTCATACTCCCGAGACTGGGAGAAAGGCAGGTATCCAACGCCGTTAGTATGCACGACACACCCTTATTAAAAGCTTTTGTGTTCTCAACTTCACCTTGGAAAATGTCTTGCTAAATTGGAAGTAAAAATAGTGGCTTCTCTTCATATAAGCTTAAATATAAGCTTGCTGAAACACGAACTGTTTTGTAAATTAAACATCCTACAACAGAACAGGTTAATTACTCCACTGAACTGCAACTTAAATTCTGAAGTTTATACCTGTGACCCTTTTTAAAATTGACACTTAATAACAAATGCAACCAAAAATGCATATTCTATCCTCAGTACTTTTTTTGAGGTGGGGAGGACCCAGAGCAGACAGGACATGACTTTAAAGAAAAAAAAAATCTTCATGTATACCTTTATCCACATTGCAGAAAAAATTCATGACATTTAAGAAATTAATGATTTTACTTAATTAATGAAACTGTTTTGCTAATGATCCTGTAATTAGGTTGTCTAGCACTCCTATATGCCACAAACCACGAAGAAAATTGCTTGCCATGGGTTTCCTCTTAATGTAGATATTACAGTTTTAGAAATTATAGTTCAAAAAAACATTAGATTCTACACTCAAATGTCTTAATGGTGTCAAAGAGCTTTCCTGACTGCTGCAACCTAAACACACCGAAAAACCTACCTGACAAGTTCAGAAATTCAAGCAATATTCTGCTTACAGTGCGGAGTATCCAAACACCCGGGTGTGTCCCATCATGGGCCAGAAATCAGAAATTCGGGGAAGGGGGCAAGAAATCACCGTGTTTTCACATATATTATGAGCGCACATAGGGGTGTTCTTTTTATAGCACACCTGGTCCATGCACAAGAGAGTAATTGCCAATTTCTATTTTATACTAACTTAAAATAAGACTACAGAACATCCTTTAACTCCATCAGAAGAGGACCTGGAAGGCAGGAGTAACTTGCTGTTACAGGTAATAATTATTTGGAAAACTAATTTTAGATGTCACAAAGAAGTATCTTTATAATACACCCAACAATTATTCCTATCAGTTGAAGAGTCAGTTTCAAAAAAAAAAAAAAAAAAGGACTTAAACTATGACCACAACCCCCTCAAATAAAGAAAACAAAAAAACCCCAAACCAGTAGAGCCAATAATGGTATGAAAGTCTGACCTTCCCCATGAACCCCCACCTATAAAGAGTGAAAGGTGGGACGAAAAGAGTTCTGGAAACAAAATATTCTTCACTGGGACGTGGTCCATATGCTCTCTTGTTTTCTCTAAACCCAGCAGAAAAACCCCACTGGAACACGGGCTTCTTGGAGCAGAGCAAAAAACTGCGAGGCAAAAGCACCGCAGTAGGTTTATCTGGCTTTAGTTTAATCATGGTATTTTTAAAAAAATGCATTAAGTTAATTCTACGTTCAGCTAAAGCCCGCCTTTTAGCCAAGACAGCCGGTAACACAAAAACAGCTTGCGCTGTAACCCATCTCGAATAACACACTGACTTAGTAGTCCGAAATAGAAAAAGCTTGAGCTCCGAAACCCTGACACCGAAAGGGGGGCCGCTCAGCACCCCTGGAAATGCTCGTTCAGGATCTGTGCCTGTGCAGATCCCGCAGCATCTGATCCGGATCCGATCAGATGCAAATCTGCAGATGCTTGGACACAAGCCTCCAGCCGCTGATAAATAGGAGGAGCATCCTTATTTTTTAATTTTTTTTTTTTTTTAAGCGTCTCTTCCGAACATTTCCATTCCCCTTCCCGGACTAATACCTATGGCAAACGCCCAATTTTCCCCAAATACGGAATTAATTCGCTATCTGCCGGAGGCGATATCGAAGTGGAAAACCTGCTCGGCTGCGTAACAGACCTACATCTCTAAATACCTCTCGCATTTGGGGGGGAACCATCTCCCAAAAACACGTGGGGATGGGGGGCAGGGGGAAAGGCTATCACTGCGTCATGAAAGGAAAAAATAAAAAATAATAAAACCGAGGCGCCAGCGATGCATCCGCGTTGTTTGCGCCTCCCCGAGGCTGGGCGAGATTTTGGCTTCTCCCTTTTTTTTTTTTTTTTTTCAGCTTTTTCTCGCTCCCCAGGGGGCCGCTCTCTCACCTTGTCCAGCTCATCGTGCAACTCGGCCAGGCTGGGCCGGAGCAGCTTCTCGCCCAGGTCGGCGGCCGTGTGGCGGTAGTGGTCGATGCGGGGCACGGCGTCCATGGTGTTGTGGCCGAAGGTGCGCAGGTAGTAGGTGTTGGTGTGGGTGTCATAGTAGTAATGGTGGTGCCCGCCCGAGCCCGAGTGCAGGCTGCCCTCGCTCATCACCGTGTCACCGCCGTTCTGGACGCCGCTCACGTTGCCGCTCTCCGAGCCGGGCTCGCCGGGGCTCTCGCCGCCGGCCGACGGGTCCACGAAGTTCACGCGAAACCTGCCCTTGGCTTCCTCGCCGCCCTTCCCTGCCGCGCCGACGTCCCCGCCCGCTTTGCGGGGCCCCTCGGCCACCAAGTCCACCTGGAAGCGGCTCTGGCTCGGCGTGGGACCCAGCGGTCTGCCCAGCGCATCCTTGGCGCCCTCATCGCTCGCAGACCCCGGCACTGCCTGCTTGCCCTCCATGCTTTCCTTCCCCCTCGCTCCGCTTCTCCGAACACCGCTGCTGCTGCCACCGCAGGCGGCTCCCGCAGCTTTAAAGCGCCCGAGCAGCGCCCCGGGGCTGCTGCAGACACAGCGCCGCGCCCCGCCCCCGCCGCAGCGCCAGGTGACGGTGACGGCGTCTCCGGTCCTTCCCGCCTAATGCCGCTGTGCCCAAGAAGCAGCGCACTCAACTTGCCCCGCTGCCGCGCAGGGAGAGATGCTGGGGATAAAACCGGCGGCGCGGCGCAGGCTCCGCCCGCTCCCGGCTGCGCGGAGGGAGTGGCGGGAGCGCGTCCCCGGGCGCCGGCGGCTCCTCCCGCCCGCACTATGGCGGCCCCGCCGCATCCGCCCCGCGGCGGCGCTGGGAGGGGAGAGGACGGGAGGGTGGGGGGGCAGCGCTGCGCTCCCGCCCGGCACAGCCCCCCGGCCGACGCCACGTCTCGCGAGAGCGGCGCGGCGGCGGCCGGTCAGTACGCACCGTCCGCGGCACGCCTTGCGGGTCCCTCAGACACACCCTGGAGTCCCTAACGCACCCCAGACCCCCTCACAAATCCCGAGTCCCCTCGCACAAACTCAGGTCCTTCACACACACCCCGAACCCGTCTCACATTCTCGATCTCCCTCACGCACTGCCCGGACCCCTCACACATCCCCAGTCCCTAACACTCCCTGGACCACTGAGACACCCCCCGATCCCCTTCACAAAATCCCCGGTCCTCTCAGGCACCCCCCGAACTCCCTCATACACCTCTCGATCCCACCCACACAACCCCCGGTCCCTCACGCACACCCCGGACCCTTCAGACACACCCTGAACCCCCTCATACACCCCAGACCCCTGCACACAACCTCAGTCCCTCACGCAATCCCAGTCCCTCACACAACCCCAGATCCCCTCACACACCCACAGGTTCCCCTCACAAAACTGGTTCTCTCAGGCACCCCTCCCCCCGAGGCCCCTTGTACCCCCCCTGATCCCTCTCATACAAACTCAGGTCTCTCTCACACACCCTGAACCCCTCAGACACTCCCAGACCCCTCAGAAACCGTCCAAACCACCTCATACACCGCCCAGACTCCTCAGGCATCCCTCGTTCCCTCAGACATACCCTGAACCCCTTCACACACAGCCTAGTCCCTCACACACACCCTGACCTCTCAGGCACCCCAGGGCCCCCACACACATCCTCTGGACCCAAACCCTCCAAAGCCATTCAGACACTCCTGGATGCTCAGACACCCCCTGACCTCCTCACACACACCCTGAAACCACTCATATGCACACCCTGGTCTCTGACAGACACCCCCAGATTCCCTCACACATCCCAGTGCCTTGCACACTCCCAGCACCTCCTCACAGACACAACCAGTCCCTAAAACACCCCTGGACTCCTAAACACTCCTAGACCCCTCAAACACCCTCAGGGCCCCTAACACACACCCACAGTCCATCACACAACCCTTGACCCTCCCACACCCCCTGGGTACCCTCTCACATACCCCTTAGATCCCCTCACACACACCTCACACACCTGGTCCCCGTCAAGCACCCTACAGAATCCCAGTTGGAAGGAACCGTAGTGGCTCAACTGGTCCCACCTCCCTGCTCCAGCAGGGTCATGCCAGAGCACATGGCACAGGATTGTGTCCTGATGGTTTTGGAATATCTCCAGTGAGGGAGGCTCCATACACTCTCTGTGCAATCTGTTCCAGTGCACAGTCACCTACACAGTGTTCTTCCTCATGTTCAAGTGGAACTTCCTGGGCATCAGTTTCTGTCCATTGTCTCTGGTGTCCTATTGCTCAGCACCAACAAGAGGAGCCAGGCTCCATCTTCTTGGCAACCCGCCTTCAGGTTGATGAGGTCCCTCCTCAGCTGCCTGTTCTTGAGGCTGAACAGGCCCGGCTTGCTCAGGCTTTACTTGTAAGAGAGATGCTCCAGCTCCTGAATCATCCTCATTGGCCCCAGACCTCCACATATACCCCCATACCCTTCACGCACCCCCAGATTCCCTCACACACACCTCAAATTCCCTTTTCACCTTCCAGCCTCCAGATCTCTGCCAAGTGTACTGTAAAAACTACTCGCATAATAGATTGAATGTCAGTAATGTCTTTTTCTGCTGCAGTTTTTCATCGCTATCCTCTTAGAGCTCATTCTTTCTTCAAAAGTATACACGGTTCTTTAATTTGAAAAGTGGGGTCGTTCTGCCTCCCTGCTCTTACTGGAATAAAAGGGCCTGGATAATCCATTAAAGCATAGAAAGTTGGCTCTGAGGCTGTGAAAAGAAACCTCAGATGTGAGTCAAATACTTCAGCTTCCGTAGTCAGAAATTAAGCACAGACTCAGCAATGATTTTTTGTTGTGATGTTGGTTTTTTTATTTATTTACATTTGAAGGCAGTATCTCACATAATATCAGCAGAAGGGGGCTGTGTCTCCAAACCCCTGTTTAGGTGCTAAAAATCATCTAGCAAACATTACTTCATTTAGGCCTCTAGAGCAATGGCACCTCTTTATTGCAATAGCATTATAGTCAGTACTTCTTGGTTCCAAACCTCTTTTTCCCCTAGTATGTAGTGTTGTATATTTTCCCCCTCTGCCCAGCAAACTCTCTGTGCCAACATTTGTTTTCTAACTCACCATTTCTCTACTGTTTTATTTCAATTAACAACTACCTGGTGATGTAATCCAACAGAAAAAGACTGGAGCTATAAAGTTGCTTTTCCATAACAGTTAGTTAGAGGAAGAAGTGTTTCAATTTTATGCCTAAAAGAAAGCTGATGATGCCTTGGCAGGTTGTTCCAACACTGTTTCAGAAAAAAAAAATCTTATAATTAACAATAGTTTGAGAAATTCCTTGATTCACTCAAAATTAAAAAAAAAAAAAGTTTTAAAAATACAGAATGTAAAGAAAAATAATGTATGTGCAAACTGGAAAATAAAGTATGAAGCCATGCTGAAGTTTTTACTATTTTGTTTGAAAAAGAGCAGATGATGAAGAGAATGAGTCAGAATAAAAGATTTTTGTTCAGAACTGAAAGCAAACAGCACCCAAACAGCAGATGAAACACAAGGAAAATCCACTGGAACATTTTTCTTGGCAGACAGAAACACTTGGTGATCAACATCTGCATAGAATGTCGTATGATAAGGTGTTTGGAAACAGCTTAGACTTGTAAATGGTGATTTCTGTCAGTTCCCTGGATGAATAAGTAAAACCAGAGGAAAGCAGGTTGTCAAATCCCATGGATTGGTGATGATGGGGTTATACTACAGCGTTTAGCTGTTTTAAAGAGCATTCTACATGTGTGTTTGGATACGTCTGCAAGGCGTTAGTTTCTCTTTGGTCTGCATTTATATTATTGCAACGCAATGCTCAAATGTTTAACAAGTCCCACAGTTGTGCATCCCCAGATCAAATGATGAGGTTGGCCATGCACATGCTGAGGGAGACCACAGATTTACACTTTAGGTTTCAAGAAGAGATTCCGCTTTAGAAGAAGGAAGAGGGGGAGTAGATTCAAAGAATGTGCTAATGAAAAGTACATGGGGCACAGATAAGTCCTGAGAGAGGAGAGCACACCATCCAGATGGAAAGACAATAAGAGAATCTGTAACTTAAGGAGAATAAAAGGTACATAAATTACCACAAACTGCCAATTAAAATGTCATCAATACTAAAAAATACACGTTGAGAAAAAAAAAAAGGCTCGCAATTAAATTGTTTCTGACATACCACTACTCAAAACATTATCATAGTAGAGTTTAGGTATTGTTGGTGAACAAAACAAGTGCATAACACATTAAATAAAGATAAGCAATAAATTACTCTTATTCTGGCAAGATTATTTACCACAGAACGTTTGCAATTTCTTGTTTCTAGAAAGGGAGGAGGTAGGAGCTGTGGAGGGTTTCAGTGTCCTGTCGATGATGCAAAAGCATTAACTGAAAATCCCAGATCTGGTTTTAGTCACCAAGTGTCCTTTTTCTACTTTGAACATGTCATTTGCCAGCTTCAGCTGATACTCCATAGTCCTCATTTGATAACCAATGTGAAACACTGGAAAATGCAAACACTTTATGACACTGTGATTGTGGTAATCATTTAGATCTTTACTAGATCTCTCTCCCATTTGCCTCTTTTCCAAGCAGAAGAACTCTAATTTTAAGTCCTTGCTCCTGTGGACACTGTTCCTCTCTTCTTTGTGCCTTTTTGGTTCTAACGGATCCTTTCTGAGAAGTCTCAGACTCACAAGCCTGTAGATCCACAGGTCTCCCCTCAGATCATTAAAGCTGGGTATCTTGTTTCCAAAGTTAATGTCCTCAGGCACAAAGCTGGTTTTAAGATGCTGTGCATCAGAGTTAATAATTCAGCAGTTTCACCCTTGAGTTCCTCTAGAGCTTCTGAGTGTCGTTTGGACCTATTACTTTGTTACTGTTCAGGTAGATCTCTCCTATTCACTCCTTG